GTAGACAAATTTCATTTTCGTTGTTACACACAGGTGAGTAAATAATTATGATATGATAACACTTGTTACGTAGTATTATGCATTTCAATGAGAACAAACTGGCTGCACAGTTCGTTGACTTCTAACTTCATCTATTAAGATATTAAAATCTTTCGTTGCTGTATTCACAACTTATCCCCGCATTCTTATAATGAATTGATCTGCTGTTATTATTATTGGCTCTCGGTATTTTTAATGAAAGCTTAGTAAGGTTTTACTCTTAGTTCGTTTATATATTCAAAGGGATGCGAAAATGTCCTTCTGCATTTACCCCCTCAACCTCTCCATCAGCAACCGTAGGCACTAATTAATTGTTTTGGGTACCGGTATGTGATTATATGGAACTTATCGAGGGCTCAATAAAGAAACTTTCATAAACTTAGTAACGCTGAACATAAATACGATGAATATGAAATAAAATTACAGGTTTCTTCCAGTAATATGTCAATGTTGATTGTATATAAAATCATATATATATAAAGTTAAGGAGTGACGCAGGCTTTTCTAAGCGCGTGCTAATAAATTTGGGTCCCACGTATCGACCCTGTAAGTCTTATGTTATATCAACCAACTGAAACCGAACTTATCATTGACGATTATTAATTATCGGCCAGCTATAGCCTTGACAGTAGCATGTTTACTGCCTGCGCGCGTCTCGATTTCTATTTCTTCTTCGTACGTTTTTGCAAGCTCCGCAAATTGTTGCCAATGTTAGATGTTTATAAAAACCTAAGCTTTTCTCGCTTCTTTATCTCTGAGTCACTAGCCTGAAATTTTTATTGTGAAGGTTTAAATGCACACAAAATATTTATTCGTGTTGGTTTGGGGACAATTTTTCTTTATTGAAATTTTTGAAATATCAAGAGAGTTTGAAACTCTCCAAGAGTTTGAAACTCTTGGAGAGAGGAGGGCTGGTGTCCATCGTGTGATAAAGATTGTCTGCTCTTTTGTAATTTTAATTTTTTCTTTAGATGCGCGCCACTCGCTCTCGACTGACGGTGTGCTGCTCTACATTGATAATGCGCTCATTAAGTCGCTTAGCTTCCAGCATCCGCTTTCATTAGCCACTCTTTTTGTCGTCTTCTGTCTTGTTTTTATTTATTGTTCAGCTGTTGGTCTTCAATATAAGCGAATAAAATTTAAAGATTAGATATCTCATGAACGAAATTAATAAATTTCACATATTCAATAATGGCTTCACATATTTATAATTAATTTTTTTCGAATTTACTGGTGTTAGTATAAATTTTCGTCGGCCCTTTAATGTCACCTGATTATCTGAATTGCCACTGAAAGCTACCCGCTTGACCATCTAGATTCTAAATGATTGACTCTTGCGCTTATAATAGTCAGGCATCATATAAAACTGCAGTCATTTTCAGAGGGATGCCTACCGCTTCTCATGAATTAAGTGTTTTCTCCCATGTGGAACATTTGTTGTTTGGGAATTATTATTAATAATCAGAAACACGCTCAATTCTGCCTCATGCAAAATTCGTCTGCCAACGATTATTTCTCTACATTTTTTACCATTTTATTTTTCTCGAACTGTGACTTTATTAATTGTAAGTAGGGGCGTTGCAAGACTTCATTCGAACTATCATAGTACAATTCCCAGCATTGCTCTTGGTCACTGAAGCATATCCTTGCCGGAGCTACCTGATCATTTGTTGGGATTTTAGAAACAATAAGCCGCCTTAGTCCATCCCGAAGCTCAGGTAGAATACAGGATAAATCATTTCTGAATATGTCGGATGCTTTAACATGATATCCTGATCTGGTTCAATATATCCTCCCGAAGATACTCATTCTTTCAAAGTTATAAAGTTATGATTCCTCAACATAATACTCCTAATACACATCCATTCAAGCTTTCCTCAGTCTCGGGCGGTCCCGAGGGAAGCAATCCTTCGCACACTTCTCTCCTCGGCAAGTTGCGTCTGGTGCGCATGTTCATGTCTCCACGATGTGGATGAGCGCGCTTCGTCGAGCATCACGCATGGTGACAAGCAGACTTGGTAGCGACTCCTATATTATGCGCTGCTAAAGCACCTCAGGCACCACGCTGGCTGTTGCATGAAAGGATAGCTTTTTAGCGCATTTTCTCGTTTATATAAAAAGGCGCTATTGTGCTCGCCATGTCCGTCTGTCTGTCTGTCCATCCGTGACTTCACGCTTCGTCGACAGAAAATGCGCTCTCTGTCACTCACTGCAATGAGTACCAAGTTATATATATTTTTCAATGTCTAGTCTGCCTTGCGAGCGCGTGAGATAGGTTCCGTAATATTGCGCGCACCAACTAATCTATTTCTCGTCGTTTTTTGTGCATTAATATTTCTATGTCTTTCATACTCATCGCGCGCGTTCCTCCTCTTACTTAAAGATTGTGTATTTTTGGTTCTTTCAATCCCTTGATTGGTTCACAATTCTCTATTTCAAGCACGTGAAACACTTGCCTTGAATAAACATCTTGCATTAAAAAGTTCAGCATCTAATTATTCGTCGCAGGCTCCTTCATTAGCTTAGTTATTCTCATTTTTGTACCTATACGGTATTTGATCATGTTTCGGCTTTCTGCAAGTATCATTTTCTCATCGTGCACTAATGAGAAAATACATTTTTTTACTCGTACAATATTCTAGTCATTTTCCGGGACAATTCCGGAACGAGAATATTTTGGAACAAGCAAATTTTCTCTCTCTTAAGGAACAAGCAAATTCTCTTTGGTCGCTTCGCTGCATTCCCGCACGCGCTCTGCGTTCCGCGCTACGCAAGCAGAACCGAGGTCGTAATATGGATGCTCGTGAGCAAACTTTTACTTTCATGCGGTCATGTGTTCCGAACGAATTGCTTGTGTTTGTTCATGTCTGACACCGTATTTGACTTGGATGATGGATTACGTGGGAATACACTAAGATATTGTTGCGAATGACCCGCCGCCGTTAGCATGAATTGTTTGAAAATTTTTGAGTCAGAAATTTGGCTAGTGCTTATCATCCTTGCTAACGTTCACCATTTCCAAACTATGTTGAAGCTGTTCATACGTTGAAAATTTCTATGTAAGGTGTGTTTTTTGTTTTAAAATGTATAATATTTCAATCGAATGAACCTTCTTTGACGTGTTCCATCTTGCTGCTTGATGCTGACGATATCATGTTTGGTTCACCGACTGCAAACCAGCCCGACTTTTTAAACTCTGTACTTGTTGCATTTGATGTAGGTAATGCGGTATTTTTAAGGCCATACAAATATTTATGTATTAAAAAACTACGTGTCTTTCACAAAGACAGACGATTTTGCATTCCATTCACTAAGAAGAGTTTTCACTGTGTTTTTTTTCATTCGTTATCTATTGAGTGTAGAGGCCTCTTGCCTCGCTTTAGTGTGTACGGGTTTAGTCATGGGAGTAGGTACCGCAAGCAAAAGCGTGTGTTGTGTTATGAGGCTTGACAGCTCGCGTGCATCACGGTGATGGCAGGCGCTTTAGTGGCCGCGAGCTGTGGCAAGACCCCGCAGACCTCGGCTACTTATCCTTGCGTGCGACGTTTCGTAACGTTCGTGGCTGGCGAAGTGTGCGTCTGCGCGTGACTGACGCTGCGTCACCCATGAATGTACGCCTCAACGATCTCAATCTTAGGAATTAATATTATGCCTGAATAGATACGCTCTTGTGTGTTATGGTTTCATATTGTCCTTTGCTGAGAAAATTGGTTTTGTTTCGATGTCTTCTAAATCTTCCGTACTTCGCGTGCTGAAACTAAGTATCAAGAGGTCAATTAAAATAATTTTCATTATTCATATCATGGTTTTTACGCGTCTTCTTCTTATTACGACATGCTGACTTCCTTTTTATTTGAAGACCTTTTGAGCACTCCATTCACTAGGTATTTAGAGACCCTTAACCTTTTTCTTAGAGCCATCGTGATTTCTTATTCATCGAATCATCTTTTTTTCCCTTTCATTCAAACTCATTGATGCTGCTCTTCTCATGCCGCATGTTCATGTCTTCGTTTTTGTTGAGAATTTCATCATGCAATCTGTGCCTCAACCTTCTATGGGAAGCTCCTGTTCTTCCCTCAGATGATCTAAAAATACTGGGCTTTTTATTGCATGCAAGCTCGTCTCGCTCCCCCTGTGTCGGAGAGACGGCGCCTCCGTTGCCATTTCCGGACCAAGCGAAAGCTCCTCGGCGCTCTTATCTCTGACCTTATTGTTTCAGTTATTATTACAGGTTATTATGATTGTTTCGTCCTCTTGTGTCATGCGTGTGGAGGTCACGTGTGGAAAAACCATGGGTTATTGCCTCGTCGCCTCGAAGTGACCCATCGTCAATCATCAATTCGATCGTTTTTGTGTAGTGTGCGTGATAATCTTTTTGTGCGTGAGAATCTCTTTTTTTTTGTGCCGTGCGTGATAATCTCTTTCTTTTTTGTGCCGTGCGTGATAAAATCTAATATTCATTAGTTACGCCTTTTTACTCTTTTGGTAAATGCAGTTATGCACCTTGTGTAATATCCGTCATTCATCCCTCCTTCCGAGCAATTGTTGGTAACATGTAATGTGATCGTTGATCAAAGTAAATGAGTTATTTTTTTTACCAACTGGTCGATGGCTTCAATGCTTTCTGTGCCACGCTCTTCGAATTCCAAGATGATCCTCGATCCGTGATGCTGAATTAATTCATCCTCTTAATTCATTCTCATGTTCCCAAAATGCTTTGCGGGCATCGAACTTAGCTCTTTTTTTACTGTGAAAATTTTCATTTGTTCAGTTGTTCTTCCACTTCCACATCCCACCTCGATCATTCTTATATTACCACAGGCCAAATAAATATCCGTGATCTCGTTTCTTATTGCAGTAAATAAAAATCGTTATTCATTTATTTAGTTCACTATTATGATAATATAAAAAAATTACCTAAAGATGTAAGTTGTTTAATAATAATTTTTTTTGTCTTGCAGACGAGCGAGACGCCATCCAAAAGAAAACCTTCACGAAATGGGTCAACAAGCACCTCAAAAAGGTACGATTCAAATTTAATACTTTGCATTTTTGTGCTTCATTATATTCCACTGGATCCTTTTAATGTTTCTTATTCCACTGGATTCTTAAGATTGCTGGAAACATTGCGCATATTCTGGTTTGTACACCGAATTATCGGCATGTACTGCACAATCGAAGCTTCGATAGTAGAATGGCAGAAGGATTTTGAAATGGAATAAGCCTTGACACTGAGAGTTTTCTCTGTAGGACTTATAATGGTTTATCTGCAGTACATTTTGATGGAATTATTTAAATAAACTTGACTTGTATCGCTAATGACTGTTTAAAATCGCTAATTGTAGTTCAGTTATTTGTTGTCCAAGAATTTTAACGAGTTAACCCTAATCGAATAGGGGGCTCACGCTATTTATTGTTTAAAAAGTATGTTTCAATCGTTAGTCTACTATTGTTGCTTGCTAGCTGCACTACCTTGATCATAAATCGAGTGATGCGGTAGTTAAGACGCTATGTTTTAAACGAGTTTCGAACTTTTTTTTTTTTTGCGGGAGGTTCCAGCGAGTTTACTGTTTTAAAAAATATAACTCAGTACTCACTGCGTGAGTGACAGAGAGGGCATTTTCTCGTCGACGAAAACGTGAAGTCACGGACGGACGGACAGACAGACAGACAGACGGACGGACATGGCGAGCACAATAGTGCATTTTTCCATAAATGAGAAAATACGCTAAAAATGAGCTGCAGGTAATCCAGATCCGTCTACGTTATCAATGGTTTCTACTTTGACCTACAATCTTAAAACAAGACTGACGCCTGACCTGTGTCTGTGATTAAAAAGTTTAATGTTTCTTTTATTCCATCTGTGATGTAGATTTTACTTATTTTCTTCTATTCGGACGAAAATTTTATTACAATTAGAGATACAAAGTTTACATATTTTTAACATTCGAGTCGATTTTGAATAGCTTACAAGCGTAATTGAAGCTACCTACCTAGATTGAAGATAACCTACTTCTACAGCAATTGAAACGGCGTTCATAAACGTATTTGAGTTTCAGTATCTACCATTTTATGAGTTACCAACAACTCGAGGTATCTAGTAACGCATTTCTCCCTTGCTTTAATTGATACGAGGTCTTTCTTGTAGCTGATTTAAATGTCCACTTATCTCATTAAAGGAATGTTCCATTTACTGTTCAGTGATTACTAACGACAATACATGAAGCTACATCATGATACCGGTAATTGTTTGCCATGTTGCACTGGTTCATATTGAGTGCGTGCATGATTTGTTATGAATGCTGCTGCTCGAACACATGTTGTGCATAATGGCGTTCGCTCTTCTTAACTTCCGAATTTCTTCTTAGCTGCAAAGTTTGGTGGAGGCACTTCCCTATAAAAACCTGATTTATTACAATTCGTAGTTGCCGTACCAAAACTATCGAAAGTGTTTTTTTTCTACTCATTTACTTAGTTTGATTATAAAAGAATTTAGAATAAGATAGAATGTATTAAATTTTAAAATATCTCGATAAGACGTAAAATATAAGTAATTTGACTTCGTCATGTTGCCCTCCACACATCAGAGAGATAGAGTTAAGCAATTTAGTCTTTTTTATTAGATGCGCTCATTATTATCATGTGCTAATGACACTTTGACATTAACATTTTTCCATTGCCATTTTCACTCGATGCGCTAGTCTTCGAGTTTGGTGCTGATTGTTTCAATGCTGATTTATCCTAATGTTTAGCTGCGCAGCGCAGATCTTTCACCATCGCGTTCTGCCATGGAACCTTTTTCGGTGATGTCGTTCTTGTTTAGGTTTGCTGTGCTAAGGTTGGTTTTGTCGGGCTTGGTCTATTTTCCTAGCCGACTGCTGTGTTTAGCTCTCGACTAACTCCATCAATCTGGATTTCCTTGCTATTTTTGTTCCTGCTTGGATAGCTTGAAGCCATTGTGACCACGCAGCAATGACATTGTCCTAGTCTTGCCAGTCTCACCTAGTGTTCTTTACATTTTTTAATTGACACTCATGTAAGAAAAGTCTCATGGAGAACTATTGTAAAATTTCCGTAGTTTTATCAAATTGAATGTTTTTACAAAAGCAATGGTATCAAGATTGTTTTAGTGGTTGTATATTCTCATCGGGCTAATGTAAGTGAATATTTTGTATTTTTCTAAACTAGAATTTTTTCTTGCAACCACTATTTTGCTTGGTTTGCAATAACATTTTCCTACAGTTAGTACTCTGATCTTCCTTAACTTTAATTTTAAAATGTCTGCACCCTTCGTAATCTAAACATTATCGCGTGTATTTTTAAAAATCAATTAGTTTACCTATGTGTGGTTCCAATTTACTTACGAAAAATCTGGCAAAATTTCATGGAAATCAATATTTTCATAAGAATCGAGTTATTTACAACCTATATTACAACCTGACCAGCCGAATGTGCAGTGTAGACTCAGGGTGGGTCTGCATCTCGCTGTATCGTCGCTCAGGGCGTTTCCCACACACGTCCACACTTGTGTATTGGTTCCTTGGATAGGATATCGTCGACTGCCCGTATCTCGCCTTGCTTTGGACCGGGCGTCCGTTTGTTGGGCCCGGTGAACGGTCGAATTCTAGAGCGCCTTACCATTCCAGTCTGCAAACGACATAGGTATAACGTGCTCTATAAAAAACTGCAAATGGTGGATTTATAACGCCAGTTCACGAGAACAGCTAATAGTATACAAGTAATTTTGCCCTCCCGAGTTTAGCCTGTCTATGACAGAATTATTTAGCCCCTTCTAAGCTCAGTTATCAAATGGCAGAGTTATTCTCCCCTCTGCCGTATAAGCTGCTGAGGAAATTATAACCTTAGTCTCTACGCTAACCCTGCAAATAACTGAGTTTAACGCCTTCTCTCCCTAAAACCGGCAAATAGCTAAATTATTAAGCCTGCAGATGGTTAAAAAATACAGTTAAAAGTCTCTCTCAACTTACAACCTGCAAATGACAGAGTTATAACTCCCTTCTACTTTCAGCAAGCAAATGACGGATTTAACATTCGGTTTCAACGTACAAACTTCAAATGGCGGAGTTATAAAGTCCCCTCTCTACGTTCAGCCTGCAAATGTAGATTTTTAACGCCCTCTCTAGTATAACGTCCAAATGCGAAGTTATAACACCCGCTCTACATCAACCTGCAAATGGCGGTTGATATAAAATGGTCTTTTTATATCTCGTACCCTCAACGAGTTAGATGTGTAGCATAGATTTCGAGTGGGCGCCACGCTTCCTGCGAGTAAATACGAGGCTTGTATACACACGGTTGCCCGCGCTCTTATTCCCTTGCGCGCCGCATAACAGGTCTTTGTTGTGCCCCCGCCTCAGCTCTGCCCGCGTCTCTGCCGTACTTTTCCCTTGTGTGCAGGAGTTCGTGCTGGCAGTGAAGATCTGCTGCTGCTCGTATGGATTTTTCAACGGTATATTATTGATATTGGAGTAAATAAGTATAAACGAGGTTAAAATTTAGCTTTTTCAGAATTTAGTTTCTGAGCTAAAATTTAGTTCTTTATGTGATGATAGCTTCAAAAGGTTACGGATTTTTTCTAGTTTTTAGGTTTAAAATTTTGTAATCGACAGTTGAGCACCTAATAGAACAGGCTGAATACAAGTCATGTTAAACTGCAAGGAGTTTGCAGGCAGTGCGTTTGAAATCGTTACCGCGAGTGATGATTGTGTTTGTTGATCTTAAGAGCACGAACTTAATCTCTGATTCAATTAAATTGCGTGCCTTGTGTATCTTTTTTTTTAAAACATCATCCTGTAAGGTCAAAAATCTGCGATGAGCTTTTTAACGCGACCAACGCAACGTTTTTATTTCTGAAATTAAACACTTTTTTTTAGATGAGATTTTCACTATGTAGCTCTAAGTTCCATCCTTTCATAGTAGAATTCTTTGTTAGAACCTTCAAAAGATCTAAAATTTAGCTCTTAATTTCTCGCTTTCCTTTTCATGTGTTTAGAAATGTAATAAATAGCCCAGTGCTATTTTTCGTTTTTTTAGCGCTTGGCAACATTAACACATATAATTTCTTGACAATTTGCCTGAAAATCTGTTTACACGAGAGACTATATTTTAACTTCAATTATTTTCACTTTTAATATGTTTTCACAATGATGGAATAATGTGAAATTTTGGTAAACTCTTGTGTCGTTTTTTTTGTTCCCTGCCATAACTATAAAAATAACCACAACTGAACAAAAACTCCGGGACTAATTTATTACATGACATCCTAAAGATACATGGCTTATGTTTTCAAGTATTTCACATCTATGGGATATTCTCGTATTAATGTAGCCTTTCACATGCTTTAAAGTCTTGAAAATGAACATTCCAAGTTTTGTTCATTTTCTTAGATGACGTATGAACTTTCACGAACACTTTATAATTTATACTTGATTTTTCCTAACTTTTTTGAAGTCCAAAATCGAATTTATTAAGACAATAGTAGAATTTTTTATTCGTTGATAGCGTGGGAGCTGTACAAGCTGGCTATTAACATAAATCGGCGTGACCTTTAAACATCTGGTCGCTCAGCTGCTCTAAATCAATGTACACTCCAGATCGGTTATTATAGTTCCTACACGCGTTTCTTACTAATCGAGGTTATCTGATGAATAAATTCTGCTTGCGCTTTATATTAATTGCTTCTGGTCTACCCTGGAAATTGATTTCGATTGTTTCTTCCTTAATTATTCTGTTTTTAAACATTATGCCACATTTGAGCGAGTCTATGCCGGCGAACTTCTGTTGTCTGTTCTGAGAATAGCTTCTTAGGATTGTTTATGTATTTACGTGAAAACATTTACTGTCAGCTTACTTCCTTTACGTCAGGTTCAGTTTCCAGCTTAGCAATTTCATGATTAATAATCAGTCATTTATTGTGAAGAACTTACTGTTTCTGATAAATTGAATGTCTTTATCAGTATACAATTAAGTACGCTAAGAACCTAATCTGTTCTTATATTTCAG